CTAATACAGATGGAACACAGGTAATAGAGCAGAAAGCACTCCAGTGCATCCTCAATCGTTCCGTAAGAAGATCTTGTGTATCTCTATAGCATATTTTTCTTTTTTAAAAAAAGGCAAAATGAAAGGCAGAATTACAAATTGAGAGGGAGGTAGGGAAGGAGGGAGAGAGAAAGCTTCCATGTATTGGTTTACCCCATAGATAGTTTCCAGGAGCCTGGAACTCCATTTGGGTCTCCCATCTGGGTGGCAAGGGCCCAACCCCTTGGACAGTGTTTTACTGCTTTTCCAGACACATGAGCAGAGAGCTGGATCAGAGACAGAAAAATGAGGAGTGTAATTGGTACCCATATTGGATATCAGATTTTTAGGTGGCACCTTATCTGGCTATACAACAACATTGGCTCTCTCTAAAATTTTCCTAGAAGTATATATGCTTGCAGTTTTTAAATGTTTATTTAATTTCATTTGAAAGGCAGATTTACAGAGAGAACAAGAGACAGAAAAGTCTTCCATCTGCTTGTTACCACCCGAGTAGCCACAGTGGCAGAGCTGAGACTGAATCCAATAGCCAGGAGCTTACTCCTGGCCTCTCACATGGGTGCAGTGGTTTAAGGACTTGGGCTGTATTCTCTGTATTCTCAGACCATAATCAGATCTGGAAGGAAAGTAGAGCAGCTGGGACACAAACTGGCTCTCTATGTGATACTGGCATTTGAAGATGGAGGAATAGTTTGTTGAGCCATGGTGGAGGACCCATACTTACATTTTTGTGTCTTTTTTTTCTTAATCGTATTTGTGATCATATTCTGAATAGTATTTCAAATCCTGCCTTTTTTTTTTAAAGATTTATTTTATTTTTATTGGAAAGGCGGATATACAGAGAAGAGAGAGAGAGACATCTTACGTCCGATGATTCACTCCCCAAGTGAGCGCAACGGGCCGATGCTATGCCGGTCTGAAGCCGGAAACCAGGAACTTCTGGTTTCTGGGTGCAGAGTCCCAAGGCTTTGGGCCTTCCTCGACTGCTTTCCCCAGCCACAGGCAGGGAGCTGGATGGGAAGCAGGGCCACCGGGATTACTACCGGTGTCCGTGTGGGATCCCAGATGTGCAAGGCAAGGACCTTAACCACTGTGCCATCACGCCAGGCCCAAATCTTGCCTTTTATTAACTTTTTAGTTTACTTCCATATCTTTGCCTTAATTCATTCTAATTCATTTTAATGACTGTGGAATTATTCTAAATAAATGTGCCCTGGTTTATTGACTCTGACTGGGTTTGAGGAATAAAACACCTTATAAAATGTTGTACAGGAATTTTGTGTTCAAAGAACAAGAAAAAGAATTAGATTGGGGGAAACTTATTCACCAGTTTTTCACTCAGAGAAAACCTGTTTTTACTATTTCTTCAGGAGCATGTTTTTCTTTGCTTTTCAGTAGCTCATCTACCTTCTTTTTTGGTGTATGCAAATAAAGTCATATTCTACATGATAGTTTCCAACCTATTCAAGTTGACTTGATTATTCAAAGGTAAAAACTGTAATATCATTCTAGCCTTACTTTATATGCAGGTTTAGCTTAAGAGTGAAATCTGAAGAATGGCTTTTTTGCATAGTGGATGAAGTGGCTGCCTATAAGCTCATTCTGACGCTGGTTCATGTCCTGGCTGCTCCACTTCTAACCCAGCTCTCAGCTGATGTACCCCAGTAAACAGCAGGAAATGCTCCAGTGCTTGAGCTCCTGTTGTCCACATGAGAGACCTGTATGAAGCTCTTAGTCTCAGTCTAACCTAGCCCTGGCTGTTGTAGCATTTGGGGAATAAAATGACAGATAAAATATTGGTCTCTCTTACTCTAACTCTCCCTTTCATATAAATAAATTTAAACATATAAATGAACGTAAGGGGCACAAATTTGGCATAGAAGTTTTGGGATACCTGGGAAGTAAAATGGCATATTTTTAATTTATTTTTCTCTCTCTCTAACTCTTTGTTTCAAATAAATAAATGTTAGAATTTAAACAAAGCTAAAGGGTAGAAGTTTGGCATAGAAGTTAAGATGTCTTTTGGGAAACCTGTGTCCCATGGCCAAACACCTTGGAGTCCTGGCTCCTTTTGCTCTGACAGGGGACCTGCATCTGATTATGATGAAACTATTTCCTCCAGAACCTTCCAGCACTAAAACCAAAAGTCTGAGTAGTATTTCATGGCATAGATGCTCCATTGTTTCTTATGTCATTCTTCTTTCAGCAAGCATCTGAATTGTTTCCATTGTCTTTGCTATTGTAGATTGTGCTGCTGTGAATATAGAACTACATATCCCTTTCTCATATGCAGACTTCATTTCCTTTGGATATGTTCCCAGAAGTGGGATAGCTGGGTCATACTGCAGAACAATTTTCAGTTCTCTTAGCACTCTGCCTATTGACTTCCACAGTAGTTGTACTATCCTGCACTCCTAGCAGCAGTGAAGGAGAGTACCTTTCTCCCCACATCCATACAACAAGAGTTGTTAGTAGAATGCTGAATGTAGGCCAGTCTCCCTGGAGTGAGGTGAAACCTTAGTGTGGTTTTCATTTGAATTTTCCTGACAGCTATGGAGCATGTGCATTCACAGGTCTATTAGCCATTTGAATTTCCTCTTTTGAAACGTTTGATCATTTCTCTTTTAAATTTCTTCACAAGATTGTTTGTTTTGCTGCTGCTGAGTTTCTGAAGCTCTTTGTAAATCTTAAATGCTAGTCCCCTATCGGTTGTGTAGTGTGCAAAGATTTTCTTCCATTCCGTTGGTTGCTGCTTCACTTTGTTGATTGTTTCCTTTGCTGTACAGAAGCTTCTCAGCTTGTTGTAGTCCTAATAGTCCTATTTTTCCCCCTTGCATTGACTGTCTGTGCTTTTGGTGACATTTCTACGAGTCTTTCTCCAATTCCTGTATCTTGGATAATGTTTACTATGTTTTCTTGTAATAGTTTGATGCTCGAAATAAATCAATCCCAAAAGAACAAATATCATATGCTCTCTGATATAAGGCTACCTTCATGCAAAATAGAATATCAGTAGCCCTTTCAATACTGTTTTTGCTACATCCCAGAGAGTTGATATTTCTTATTTTCATTCATTCAAAACCTTTTTTTAAAAAAGTTTTATTAACTTCCTCACTGACTCATAGTCACACAGTAGCATTGTTTACTTCAAGAAGTTTTTTGGTTTTCTTTTTCATTTCTTCAGCAATACATTGGTCATTCAATAGCATGTTATTTAACTTCACAGTGTTGTAAATTTTCTGTTTTTTGTTATTCTTGATGATTTTGATATTTGATTTTCATTTAAGGGGATGTTGAGTAACTGTGTAATAGAGTCTATCACATCCAAAAGTGAAGATAAAATGTAGTTTGCGCCCCCTCCCCATTGAAACTGTTAAATATGTCTTGCCAACAGGGTGCTGGACAATGCAGTTATAAAAGTTACCAAGACAATTTCAAGCTCTCCATAGTGCAACTCTGTTCCAACTTTAATTACAGATAGAAACTCATCTCTTAACTTATGTTATGGAGATGCCTTATTTCCATTTGGAAGGGATGCGTTAAGCCCTTTTGCACTTTGTTGTGCTCTTAGCCTCCACCTGCACCTCTCCTGAAGAAGTCCTGGACACCTTTGCCCAGGCTGCAACCACACTACCATTTCAGATGGTGTCTCAACACAAGAAAGAGGATGCTGAGAATTCCAATTCCATGGGTCCAGCCCTGTCTTTCTATCTCCTCACTGCAGTACAGAAATATGTAATGGTACAACTCTTTTGCAAGTGGGAGAGGGCTCAGTCTGTGTTAAACAATTTGGAACAGATGGGTCATTTCATTCTGTTCTGACATAGCTTGTTTCTGTACCTGTCTCTGTTCCTAATCAGACTGGGGGCAAAAACTGCACTTTCAGTCCCACAGTGCCACGCAAAGCAAGGCAATCAGTAAATTCTTAACCATAGACGTGGCTGACTATAAGAATTCAAGGTCACTTGGATTATCAGGGTCACTGCATTTCATAACTCTGAAGAACATCATTCAGATTGTATCCTACAGTTATGCAAGGATGAGCTTTGTTATGTTTGCAAGCTTTAGACTTTCTTTTCTTGAGAAAAGAAAATAGCTGAGAAAATTTTGGAGAATCTCTTTGTTGGGGCATGATTTCTTCCATCCATTATTCTCTCATAGAAAGCAAATATATGAGCATAAGCTTTCTCAGCATACTTTGGTGTATATGTACCTCAGGGATTATAAATGGATATATGACTATGTGTGTGTGTGTGTGCATGCGTGCGCACACAGAGTATGCTGATGGAACTGCTATGTTGAACAGCCCTTATGGAACAGTTTAAATATTTTAGTGTTGCCTCAAGAGAGATCACAGTATTTATATTCTTTCTGGAGTTTTCTATTAATGAAATCTTTCTTTGATTCAAGTGATACCTTAGAGCTGGATGCTTTACAAAGCACCTCGGAGTATGAACCATTGGTACTAAGCACATTGGTACTAAGCACTGTGTCACCAAATGAGCACAGAGATTGGCTTGTTTCTGTCTTTGTAATATTGAGTAAATTCATGGGAGATAGAAACGACTCAAGAGGTTCTCACAAAATCAACAACCCAATTCTGTTTTGCTGCTGTTTTTAAAGTAAAATCCTTATTTTGAAGGAGCTACAGAGAGAGAGGGAGAGATGGAGAAATCTTCCATCTATTGGTTTGCTTCTCACATGGTCACGTTTGGGGCTGAGCCATTACGAAGTCAGGAGCCAGCCCACGCCCCTTGCGCTATGTGCTGCTGCCTTTTCCTGGCTCTCACAGCACAAAGCTGGACTAGAAGAGGAGTGGCCAGGACATGAATCAGCTTCCAAATGGAATGCCAGTATTGCAGACAGCAGCTTTCTGCACCATGCCGTAGTTACGGTCTCTGCATACTTGTGTGTGTTTTTTCAAATGGGTGATCATTTGTTTTTTTCTTTTATATATCCAGGAAAACAAGTGCTACCACCCGGAACTCCTCTTGGAAATGGGCTCACACCAGAGGCAGCAAAAGACCTTGGCCTTCCCTCTGGGATTGCAGTGGCAACCTCACTCATTGATGCCCACGCAGGAGGACTAGGTAATCTCTTGTCCCACTTAAAGCTAGCATGAGTGCAAACAGAAAATTCCCAGATCTTTCTTTTCTGGTTTTGAAGGGAAAGTCAAGGACTGCTGGTCCAAATGCAATAATGAGAAGTTTTAATGGTTAGGCTTTAATGTATTATAAAACATTTCATCACAAAAAAATATGTGTTTATCACCTCATTATCTTGTGCATGTATAATAAGAGAAAATTGATTTGAATAAATTTCTAGATGTTGCCTTGACTTACTGAAAATTCAAAAAAAAAAACATTAACTTCCAATTAAGACAATTAAGATATATTATGGTGGTGTACTAACTGTGTTTTTGTGTCTGGGTCTGAAGCTACGAAAGTATAATAGATTTTTTTTCCCTAGTATTTTTGGCTTTTGTCCTATACCTGTCACCTGGTATAGTAATGACAAAACTATAGTAAAATGTAATAACACTTCCCTTTGGTTCATCTCTGTTAGTTGCATTTGTTTATTTGTGGTTGTTTTCATTTTCACAATCTGTTATTTCAGCTATCACCACATATTTTTTTTCTATTCTTCAGTTATAACAAAGCTTTGTTTTAAACCATGATTCATAATTCATGATATGATTCATTGAATTTTCAGAGAGGAATACAATGGGATACAATAAGGTACAAAATATCAGGATATGCCGCCCATTGTAAGGGCAAGTACTGTTTTGTGAAATTCTTTTTTATGTATATGTGTGTGTATACATAGACTAAGACGAAAATTAATTTCTTTTCATGTGTGATGCCCAACAAACTTTGAAAGACATTCTGGTTCATAATTCATTTTATAACTAACATTTAAAAATACTTTGATGATATTTTATTTAAAGATGGATAAAGGGACATCTTCTATCCACTGGCTCACTTTCCAGACTGAGAAAACCAGTCAAGGCCAGAAGCCTAGAATTCATTCTATTTCTCTACATTAGTGGGAGCCATAGTCTGGTGTTAAGCAGGAAGTGCTTAAGTGCTTAACAAGAAGTGTGCCTAAGTTCAGAAGTGGAGGCAGGACTTTGTCAGAGAGCGATTTGATGATTGGAATTACATATATAGGTTCTCCATTCTGTTGCATGATTCTGTGGGTCTGTTTTTGTGCCAATATCAACCTGTTGTAATTATTATAGATTTATATATATTTAAAGTCAAGTAGTGTAAAACTTTCTGCTTTTGTCCATTAGCTCAAGATTGCTTTAGCTGTTGGAGTCTTTTATGGCTCCAAATTTAGTGTTTTTTTTAAATATGTTTGTAATTACTGCCAGTATGGTTTTAATAGGGATTACATTGAATATCTAAATTACTTTGGATAGTATACACATTTAATAAGACTTTACTCATTCTTCCAGTCCATGGATATAAGATGTCTTTCCATTTCTTCGCTTTCACTTCAAATTTTTCATTATTTATACTTTTTTATGGAAGAAATCTTTTACCACTTTTAAAAAAATGTATTCCCAGGTAATTTTTATGTCTATTTGAAATGGATTTTTTTGATTCTTATTTCAGATGATTTATTATTGGTGTATAACAATGCTATTGATTTTTGTACAGTGAATTTATGTCCTACAACTTTGATTATTTCAGCAGTTCTAACAGCTTAGTAGTGGAGATTTGTGTCTTCTCAGTGTAAGATTGTACCATCTGAAAATGGTAACAGTTCTAGTCCCTCTTTTCCAGTTTGAATGCTCCGTTTCTTTCTCTTATCTAGTTGCTATTGCCAGGACCTCCAATACTGCATTGAATGAAACTGGTGAGGTTGGCATTGCTGTGTTGTTCTACATTTTACTGAGTTTTCAACTTTTCCCCATTCAGTGTGATGCTATCAGATGGATTTTTATAAATGGAATTTTTTTTTTACTGTAAAGATGTTCCTTCTGTACCTTGTTTGGCTAGAACTTTTTATCATGAGCACATTTAGAATGCTGTTATAATGACTTTGCAGAATATATTAAGACAACCATTCTGCTTTCATCCTGTTGATGTGGCTTATCACAATTATTGATATTTAACCATGTTTCACTTCTGAGATTAATCCCATTTGTTTATAGTTAATTATATTTTTAATATGCCTTTCGGTTGGATTTGATTTGTTGGTATTTTTTGTGGGTTTTTACAACTATGTTAATTAAGAATATTATTTTGTAGTTTCTTTTTTGGTTGTGTCTTTAGGTGTAAAGACACAAAAAATGACTTTTGAAGGAACAAACCAGTAAAAAAAACAAATATTTTGATGATTTGTGCGTTTGTGCCCCCCATTAGCACATGTGTTATCTTACTAAAATGACTGTTCCTTACTTTAGTGCGTTGTTTATTGGTATAAAAGGATACCCAAGACTGACCCATTTATCAAAAATGGAAATTTATTCCTTAAGGTAACAGAGGCAGGCAATTTCTATATTAGGGGCCTGCATTAGGAGAGGGCCTTCTTGTATCATTATCAGTTCATGACAAAATGAAGAAGGGAAAGACAGCATATGAGTGGGAGAGGGGAAAAGTATGTGTTGAACTCATCCTTTTATTAGAAACCGAGTCTTATGATAAATAACACACTTTCCTGGTCACAACATTAATATTTTATTAGAGCAAACCATTATAACCCAGTCCCTTCTTAAAGGCCCCACTTCTCAACACTGTTGCAGAGAGGATTACATTTCTAGCACATGGCTTTTAGCAATATATTCAAATCATAGTAGCCCTCTACTTCTGACTTCTTATAACAGGAGACTCATATTAGAGGCTTTCTCCCTGGTAAAGACTCATAGGGAATGCTCAGGCCTATTTAGAAATCCTCTAACTTGTGCTTCTTTCATCACTTTAATCCATTTTAGTAAATGGTCACAATGTATAGTAATTCCTGATGCATCTACTTATCTTTCCTACCAAATAATAAACCCCTTGAGGCAGGGAAATTATATTGTTTATCCTGTCTCCCCAATGTTGAGCCATGTGTTTGATCTTACAGGTCCTTGACAAGTTAATTAAATTAGAATAAAGTTACACAAAGGCCACATGATATGCTCCTAACCTATAGAGTGCAGATTGTCCTGTTACCTTTTGCAGCTGATTATTAAACAGTGTCTTGTTCTTCTACATAGGCCATGGAATTGCAGGAATTTGAAGTGCTCATTGATCTGTGAAATATTATTCTGATTGTCTCCAAATCCCCATCTCTGATACAGTACTTGAGAAATAGCAAGCAACCCATACCACCTGTAGATCAGTTGAAAGGTATATAGTGTACTTTTCATCACAGGCAGAAGTGTTGCTCTCCAAGTACATACAGGGTGAATGATGTATGCTTTTGCTTGGAATGTCATGACCAGGGATTTATACACCAGTGTGGAGGTAGTTTTAAATTGAGGCAGAATACCAAGATTGCCCCTTAAGCCTGACATTGTGGAGCATGTGTGAAGCCAATTTGTCTCCTTTGCTTTTCTTTGTCATCACATGACAAACCTATGGGCAAGGGCATTTCATACTGAAAAGAAGGCTGCCCCTTGGCACAAGTACTGTGATTATGAAACAGGAAATATCCACTTACCACTTTGACCAACTTTTTACTTCTTATTCCTCCTCCTCTACGCTTCATCTATGGGCAGTACAGCACTAAGTGTCTATGGAAGAGAGAAGGATTGGAAGGAAATGTCCCATGTCATTTCCCAACCTGCCCCTGTCCTGTTCAAATGTAGAGAACAGGTGCTTGTCTGGATAGATCATCCCCTAGTCCTCCCACCTATTAATTGAAAGTCTTGGGCCTAGCACAATAGCCTGGTGGCTAAAATCCTTGCCTTGAACTGCTTGGGATCCCATATTGACGCTGATTCTAGTCTCAGCAGTCCTGTTTCCCTTTTAGCTCCCTGTTAGTGGCCTAGGAAAGCAGTCAAGGACGGCCCAAAGCCTTGGGATCTTGCACCCATGTGGGAAACCTGGAGGAAGTTCCTGGCTCCTGGTTTCGGATCAGTGCAGCACTGGCCATTTAGGGAGTGAATCTTTTTGTGTCTCCTCTCTCTAGCTCTGCCTTTCCAATAAAAAATAAATAAATCTTTAAAAAAAAAGAGTCTATAGAAAATTCATTTCAACATGTTAGCTATTGAGACTATATGGGTAATGCTAACCCACTGCTGGATAAAGCAGTGATACCATTTGATCTGGCATGACTAAGGCACCCATAGGTGGAACTTGAAATTCAATAAATGTATAAGCTAATTTTTATATGTATTTATTTATTAGAAAAGTCAAGTTAGAGAGAGAGGGGAGGAGACAGACAGAGATCTTCCATCTGCTGTGTCACTCCCCAGACAACCATAATGAGTAAGAACTGAGCCCGGTTGAAGCTCAGAGTTAGAAATTCTGCTATTTTCTATGCTCATGCAGGGGCCCAAGCACTTTGGATATTTTCAGTTTTCCCAAGTGCATTGCTCGACCAGAACTCAAGTAGCCAGAAGTGGAGCAGCCAGAACTTGAATCAGCTGTCAAATAGGAAAGCAGGCAGCAGCTTAACCCACCATGACAGGCTAATTTTTTAAGTTGACAATTTGTATGGACTTGTGAATGATTTATAGTAATTCCAAATAGTGCTTCGCAGTAAAGCTACAATTTCCTACCCATGGTCTAGACACTGAGTTATCATCAGGGAATGTGGTGAAATCCCATTCTGGAGAGATATTCTTATTCTTCTCACCTGGCTGGCATGTGTGTAATTTACTAGTGTTTGTATGAGAAAGCTCTTGAAACATACTGTGATACGGTGATAAGAACTCTCAGTGTGGAGTCTAAAGGTCTGGATGTAAAGAACCAATCAGCCTGAAAATATGGTGCTTCTAGCATTTTCACTCATGTTTCTGCAGTAAGAAATAACAGTGCCCTAGTGGGGGGTTATTGAGAAAACTAAAGATGTAAATATAACACACTGCATAGTGTCTGGTGCATAGTAAGCTCACAAGAATTGGGCATCTCTTTTCGGTTTTCTCACTCTG